TTTAATTCTTGTTCATCAGCTTAGTAATTCTGTATTTGAAACAAAAATTGTATGATATAATTTGGTATTTATATTTTTATAACAGGAAGTTCGTAAAATTATTATTATATAGTAATAAACAGAAAAATAAGTACACAAGTCAGCGTAAAAGGCCTCGACACCGCGCTTTATCTTATATATGGCGGATTTTTTCGTTGCTATTGGGAAATTTACAACTACTACCAGAGATATTAATCGACTCCAGCAAAGCCTTGACTACCCTCAATAGCTTTTACTAATTTATCTTTTAATTGGACATAGCCTTCATAAGGTGGTAAATCCAGACGATTGAAACTGAAATAAACATATATGAGATTATATTTTGAACCCTTTGTAAGCTAGTGTTGAGTTTAAATACCAGGTATGTGCTCGAGGATAGTTATTAGGAGTGCCCCACTTTTCAATTGTGAACATTTGTGGGCCATTGGAACCGTACAACTCCTTAAAGCCATTCATGGGAACGCGTGAAGTGCCAGTAACAAACTGTAATAAGCGCGAACGCATCTCGTTTGAAAATGAGAGTACAGCGCGCCAAAACCATTGTATAATTATATGATTTTGGTGATAATCTCCCTTATAGAGGGTATTTTCTCGCCAATCTTTCACATCAATGTTTTGTATTCCACACATTAATAATTCTAACTCGTGCTCGTCAAATATCTTAATTAAATTTAATGGAATTATTGAGCCAAAGCCATCCAAAAAAGATGACATTTGTTCTTTAACACGTGCAACGAAGCGCCATTCAATGACGAGCCTGGAAGAAATAATTAAAATAATGTACTGAGCATATTAAGTTTCATATCTCCTCACTTTATATATTCGTCTTTGTTCTCGTCAGTAACCTCAATATTAGAGCCTCCTGGCTTTAGCTCGTGTTGGCTCTTTTGGCCAAACGTGTCTTCGTCTAAAGAAAAGGTCAATTCCAACTGCCGTGGGTCGTTCTCTTTTATCCACATCAAAGAATTATAATACTCGGTATCAACTGATTCCATATCTTTCAAATCAATTGGCTTTTGCAGCATCATTTTATAAAATGGACGTATGAAAAATGCATCTAGGAGTTTTCCATGATAGACAGCCATACCGGCAATACGACCAATGAATCTGAAAGATATTATGTAGTTATTTAATGTACTATTTACATTTACTAACTGTACTCTAAAACAGATTAATTAACTATTAAGTTGTGTTTACTTCCGACTTTGTTAAAACTATTTTTAACTAACTTGAAATAACTTAAGTGCTCCTCATTGCACAAACCACTGCCATTATTAATTTGTAGTGTATAATTATCCATAGCTGAATATTCAAAGAGTCCATAGTATGGGTTAAACATTTCCTTTGATAACAAATAGAACCACTCTCTTGCCAGACCTCCATAATCTAAAAAAACAAAAAAATATTTTTATATATTCCAAAAAGAAAAACCAAATATTTCACTTACCCAGCCCAGTTTCTCCCTCAAACTCTACCCACAGTTTAGTTTTTAATAAATCGGTTTTGGTCACAGAGTTTATGATTCTGTAGGAATCCTCTAAAATTGAGGAGCGACGAATACGAATCTCAAATTTATTCGGAACATTTGTCTACAAAATGAATTCATGATAAGTTTAAAAAATTCTATAAGAGAAACTATGTAAACTTACGGGTTTTCGAATATGACTCTTAAAATATTCATACTTTTGCTTGTAATCTCTGGAATATGGTACAGCTTGACCAGCAATATTTGGATTAGATAATCGTGGATCTTCCCATTGAGTGGTGCGAGTATCTACGAAATTATTCAATTTAATTGCAACATTCATATCTACTTGTAGTTTTAATAAATATTAAAATGATTTGCTAGTTCAATACTTACTATGATCGATGTAAAATACTCGTCCATCTGTATGAACACGTTCTTCCCAACCTTCCGGCAAAGGGCCCAAATCATCCTCAACTCTTCGTGTTTGATTGGGCATTGGGCTAGCACGACCATTCCTTGGATCTATCCATGTCGTACGCCGCGCCGCATGATCTATAAAGAAAGTTCTACCATTCGGTGCTACCTGCATTGACCAATTTGGCGGCAATGCATCTTCATCCGATCTAGGGGTGACCTACAAAAAGAAAATGAGATTCAGAAAAACAAACCAATAAAATACTTCGATATTATTTTTTTTTTCAATACTCACTGGAGGTCGGCCAGAGTCAGATTCATCCACACTAATGTGGAAACGTCGTTGAAAATCAGAAGCAGCTGCTTCAACGTTAACATTGCTGTTGTTAGTTGCTGAGCTAATGTTAAAAAAGATTTGTTAACACATCGTCATATATTAAGTAATTTTTTATTGGGAAAGTAAATAAAATTTCAATATGTGCATAAGCATAATGAAAAGTGAAAAATCATTAAATGGAAAGTTAATTTAGGGATTTACTAAATTGATTACAATACTTACACTAATGGGCGTTCCCACTGGGTAGTACGTGCAGTATGATTAACGTAATACGTTCTTCCGTTTGCGTCTTGCCTTTCTTCCCAACCCGAGGGTAATGGCTCGTGGTTAACACTGGATGGGAATTGACCCTGAATAAAAAAGAAAACATAAAACAAAAATCAGATAAATATGCAATTTACCGTTTGAGTTCCGCTCATCCGTGAGACATTTTCCATATGCTCCCACTCTCCGTCAACGTTGTCACTTTCACTGGTTTCCCCCGATTCATGTAAAAATGCATGATAAATATCTAGTGTGCCTTTTATCCGTGACTTTGCGCTGCTTGAATATTAATAAGCATATTATAGCATATATATACCTTATATACATATTATTTCATTAAAAGAATATTTTTCGAAAAACATAGTGGGTAAACAAAACTAAACTAAATTAAATTTTAATATTAAACATAAGGATATAAAGAAACGAACACATAACAGATTTTCGGTGTAAAAATATACAGTTCACTCCAGTACATTCTTATTCAATTCAAAACTAAACGAATAAAATATAATTGTGTAAAAAATGAATTTAACATACCCTACTGACCTTCTCGGTCTTAGTGAATAAGTTTGTGGGCTTATAGTAGTATCTTCTTGCTCTGTAGGTAAGTTATTGAGCGTTAGTTCAACCATGCCCAGAAAATCATCACGTGTTAAGCGATTTTCGTCAAATACTTGAAACACTAATTTGTGCTCGGAAGGTTTGACCTGGTAAAGGATTAAGAAAATTTGCATAAGTACAATTTTAATGTAGTCCTTTGTTTTATGCAAAAAGTTTATTCACCCTGAATACGAATTCTTCATTCCAGGTAGGATTGAGTGTCTAAAATAAAAAGTTTAGTTATAAACAATATATAATCCTTAAAAAATTTGTAATCTGTACCTTCTTTTTGGTCTTCGTTAAGACGGAATCTATATTTATATCACCATTAATTGTATTTAAATCAATCCTTACGTATGGGTCACTAAAAAACAAATGTTTCTCAAAAAAATTGAAATAACACATATCGCATATAATGTATGCAGGATTGCAGATTTTCTAGTAATTTCATATTTTTGTGTGGGAACAAAAAAATGGAAGGTGACAATTCTTACCTTGCCCCAAATATATCCTTTTTTGCTAATGATTTTCCATTAATGATTATAATACGTAAATGGCATGTATCACTCGAGTCGTTCTAAAAAAAATAAGAAAAAAAGGTTTATTCATATAAAGGTACCACATACTTGATTATTAGCTATAGTAAAATAAAATATATTATTGTTCACAAAAATATTAAGAAAGAAAAACTTATTAATCTAACTAATACGAATTTCTTAAAGTAATAAATATAGCTATAGTCCTAATTATACACTTGTTGAAAGCAAATAATGGTGTAGAAGGAGTGGATTAGTAAGTGGTTCTCTATTAACTATTGTGAATGAATCTCTGAATGAATTTTCACAAGAACCAAAGATATGGGCTAAGGTGATAAAAAGAAACAATTGATCTTAAAACTTTGAGCAACTGGTTATATTCTAATTATTTATCAATAACACTTTAATTTCAACTTACATCATGATAACCATGAATTTGCTCATTCGCTGCAGCCTCAGCCATATTTAAAGCAAAATTAATGTATAGTATTCTTTACAACGCAATGCAAACACCAGACAATTATAGATTATTTAAGTTCTTCGTACACGCTCTCCAAACCACCAATGCTATAACTTTTACTAACAAATAAGCTACACCAATTTGTAATTTAATTAAAACCGTACTTTGCATTTAGTTTACGTTTCATACTAATAGGTTTACGAGACTTTTAATAATTAATTGGTCACTGTAGTACTTTTTTGATAAAGTCAAAAGACACTTCATATTCGCAATAAAATATATATATACACTTTTACTATAAATATGTGGAACATAAACAAAGCACTTCGCCTGACGGTGTGATTGATTTATAACAAACACGTTGCAAAATTTACGCCCAAAATTAATTAAACATTGCTCATTTATTACTTTCGTTGTGCAAATTATCATCTGACAACCTACCGCGGCATACCCACACAACAACACTTTAGTAAACTTCACTTTCTTGAACAACCTGCCAATTATGCATTTCACAAGTGTAGCCACTTTTTACTATGCATTCCACATGGAGGATTTTTGATATAAGCCCAGTTCTTAATATTATACGACGTTATCACGTCATTCTTAACTCTTTGATGATACACGAGTTACTTAGATTCTGCTTAAAACAACCGTTCCTATTGTTCTACAACTACTGTTTAATTTTCTTACAACAGAGAGGTGAATTCTAAATATTATAATTAATTTGGCTTCATAGCATCAAAACATCATGAAGTATGCACAATTTGCAAAAATATCAATGTAGGCAAATTATAAATACTGTTGACATATTTAAAAAACAAAAACTTTTAATTTGGTCCATTTGATTGAACGCGCTCTTTCCCAGATATTTGGATGCAGTAATCAATGAAAAACTTTACATTTGACATGTTATCGAAACGCGTTAATATTGAAAAGTATCGAAAAATTCGCAGCAATAACATAAATTTCTTCTCTAGACAAGGTTATTGTGTGTGTTTGGGAAAAATATATATTTCGATCTTGAAAATATAAAATAAATAGATAAAAGTATCAAAATGTCGGCCACTGATCAAATGAGGGCAATGCTTGATCAGTTAATGGGTACAACTCGCAATGGAGATGATGGACGCGGTCTTAAATTTTCTGACGCCCGTGTGTGTAAAAGTTTTTTGCTTGATTGTTGTCCCCATGATATTCTTGCTTCAACTCGCATGGATCTTGGAGAGTGTCCAAAAGTTCATGATTTGGCATTTAGAGCTGATTATGAAAGCGCTGCCAAATCGCATGACTTTTACTATGATATAGAGGCGATGGAGCATTTACAGGCTTTTATTGCCGATTGTGACCGTCGAACAGAATCTGCTAAACAACGACTTAAGGAAACACAAGAGGAATTAACTGCTGAGGTGGCCGAAAAAGCAAATGCAGTACATGCATTAGCTGAAGAAATTGGCAAAAAACTGGCTAAGGCCGAAGCGCTTGGGGAAGCAGGAGAAGTGGAAGAAAGTATGTCTTTGATGAAGGAAATAGATGAATTGCGAACTAAGAAAATTAAAGCAGAACACGAATATCGTACATCAATGCCTGCGTCAACGTACCAACAGCAAAAATTACGTGTATGTGAGGTCTGTTCAGCCTATTTAGGTATTCATGATAATGATATTCGACTAGCTGACCACTTCGGTGGTAAGTTGCATTTGGGATTCCTTACAATTCGTGAAAAGTTGGTAGAATTGGAAAAAACTGCAGGCCCACGTAAAGCAGAGCTTAAACGTAGCGGAAAAATGAATGAACGCGGTGATGATAGACAAAGATCACGATATTTTGTTGGTGGTCGTGAATTAGATCGACGTTCTCGTGTACATAGGTCCAGATCTAGAGACCGAGCACGTCGTAACGATCGTGGAGGTGGAGCAAGTAGTTCTGATAATAGATCCGAGAGACGATCAGAAAAGGACAAGGAAAGGGAAAGGGATCGTGACCGACGAGTAAATGCTGCCTCTCCGGCGAGGGAAGAAAGAAAACGGTCTAGATCACGATCCCGTGCACATAACTACAGTTCTAGACGGAGGTCACATTCTCGTGAACGTCATCGTCGTTAAAAATAGAGATTTAGTTGAAAACGGAAATGCACTGTATCCTACAGCATCATCATATGATTTAAATGTGTACATGACGATTCCGGTAGCACGTATGTAATTAATAAAAATATTTTTCGCATTTTATTATGTAACTAATCATAAATTCGATTGAATGTTTTCTTTTTGCGATTTCTTGAATAAAATCTCTTTCTCGATTATAGAAAAATATCATATACCACCATTGTTCAGATTTTGGTATGTAAAAACTTATTGCTTATAAAATAAAATATAAGTACGAAAACAGTAACTTATCTAGGTAAACTAATGACTGACCAGAACAGTAAGCTGAATGGACTATTTCAGACCCAGGTGTCACGAAAGAGAGTGGTCTTATGATTTCAGTACTTATGGTTCACAAATTGACATTCTAATTAAAATGATTTGTCTGGTACATATTTTACTGATGGTATGTAGTAACTTCAAATACACAAAAATTCATTATGTAAAGTGATTTTAACATCATTAGCATTGTCACCGGCTACCTAATTGAACTTAAACCAAATTCAACATAGTATCCTCTTTCCTGGGAATTTGGGTATGTATTTGAAGTACAACAGTTATTTAAAAATAACTGAGTTTTTTTTGTAGCCCCCATCTATGAAATATTAATATGGTTGGGAAATGAAATACCTGTCTTATTGCGTATAGAGTTTTTAACAACCTGTGGACAAGAAAATTCTAATAAATGTTACAATTCAATTGGCCCTGGTATGTATTTAAGTATGTATTTTGTACAACTTTTCAAATATACATAAATCACAACTATTATAAATCTGGTTTTCTCTTTAATCGTTTTCTGCTATTATAAACTACTTAACTGCGGTAGGAAATGTAAAAGATATATATTTAGTAGTTTTAATTCAAGCAGAAAGAAAGAGAATACAATTGGATGTCCAAAAACCATTACCTGGATGACTAAATAAAAGTATTTTTACATAAATCATCATAATGGAACAATTTTTGATGTGAATAAATATAGAAAGACAAAAGAAAAAAGGTAAGCTTGTCCACATACAGATATTTACCATAAAATACAGGAAATTAATATTAAGTTTATTACAAAATATGTGTATAACTAACTTGACAGAAAAGTCGAAAACTTTCGAGAGAAATATTGGACTGTTTACAATAAAATATTACCGTCTAAATACTGCTGAATTCATTATTGGTACAGAAAATGTTGTGATTTTGCATAGGGAAGCTATTTTTTATTTATTAATTTCCAAATGAAATAAAAATGTCAATAAAAAGTTATATTTCTCACAAACTAAATAAGAAGACGAACAGCGTAGTTTACCAACATCCGGCAAACATACACAACTATTTAACCCCTCCGAAAAAATAGCTTTTAGGATAATTGCCGAAAGCACTTGTAAACTTCTGTATAGTATACATTTAATTAAATTTACGACATTTTACCTGCGTCGTGGTACTCGTTCATATCTATTTGTCAATAGTTTTGAACTAATTCACATAAATAAATTGCAAAAATTAATTAATTTAAAATATATCTGCCTATATACGAAAGTAAAATATGGCAACCTTAAAGGCTTGAGCTATCAACTGGCATGGTTACACTGAAAAAATTCTGTTGTCTATTTTCTCATCCCCGTTTAATTATCTGAGAGCGCTACCAGAGATTTGTGGCAAAATTTCTATGAGTTTCTTAACGTCAAATTAATAAGTCTAACCGAAGTTCTTATGGCCGTTCATTTCATTCATTACGTGGTGTGGATGTTAGTTTCCAATTTACTTGAAAGTTTGATGTTATTCTCTGTCCCACGCCTTGCTGCAAATGCCCATAAGCAATGCTTGGTTGATGATATATTGGCTCCTGTCACACGTTCAATATATATTTTGATAGTTGGATCGTGATGTATATTGATGATTAATGGATGGAGTGAATGCTACACGTTCAATAATTATCACGTCAGTATTTATTCGAAATTAATCGAGTTTTTGAAACAAATATGTTAAAAAATAATTTTACTTTATTATTTCTTTAATTTTTTGGCCGGCGTTTTTTATTATAAAATGTCGAAAGAAAACTGAAGAAAATTTTTTAAGGTTTTGAAGAAAAAAGTTCTAAGAAAGCGTTGGATCAAAAAAATTCTACCAACCATTATAAAGAAAACACCGGATATTTTGAAAATACTAAAATTTGTATAAAAATATAATACAATTTTAAAAAAATTCGCATGTTTTTAAATTATACTTTGTTCCGTCGTATCGTAAATTTACATACAAAATATCGTGGACCACTGATCAATATTGAACGTTTAACATACGATCCGGATTTCAATATATTTAAATATTTTGTGATATGAATCGCAATACACCAATATTACATGCTACACGTTCAATAAATATCGCGAACCTGGAGAGCGTTCAATATATATTGAACGTGTAGCAGTCCCCATTGTACAGCCGTAACAAAAAATTTTGTAAACTCTTAACTTAAATATCAGATGTCAGATAAAAGTTCTGATTTTTAGATATTTATTTCAGGTATAAAATTTATTTTATGTTTGGTTACTATACAAAAAACAGTTAAACATATTTTAGTTCAGATAGTTTAATTCCATTACGCTGAATATAACTGGTACTTGGAGCACATTTTCTTGATGTTGCTTGTTTGTGAATTGCAAGCTTGTAAGGAATATCATAAATGGCGAATTTTCCTACTTTAGGTGCTCAGCAAGGTGAAATATAATTTGATAAAATAATTTTCTTGAAGTTAGTTTCAAATTTTGCTTCCTTGCGGCTTAGAAACCAATCGTAAAATTCTGGAGGATCTGCAGTTAAAAAAACAACTTTTACAGAAAGGTAACATTCCAGGATTAGGAACTGGAATATCCACCAATACACTTTACCAGGTATATAAGTTATATTTTATAAAAATAGCATAGGCTAAACATGCCTGCCTGGTGTTAAATTATAGATTCCTGCCAGTCAACTATTACCATCGTCGGATTTTTCTCAAAGTGGCGGATTAGCAACTGCGCCTCGTTCGGTGTTTAATGCAACTACATCAACAACATTAGGGTATTTCGTTTCCCAGGACTCTTATTACGGAAATACTTTTATACCTGTGCTACCACGACTCGATCCAGTGCCTCTAAATTAAAATAATGGCTTGTATAAAGCTAAAAAAGTTGGAGGAGTACTTACATAGTGTGGATAAATTTGAAAAGCCGAAAATCAAATTAGAACAATACATAACACCTCCTCACATAGCTAGTTGTGTGCTTTACAACATCCAGGTCAAGATCGGAAGCCAAACAACTCTTAAATAATAAGTAAGAACGCAACCACCACGTTGAACATTTTTTAACATAATTCTTAAGGATAGTAATTTGCTTAGAACGATGAAAAGCTGCCTGAAAAATGTCTCAAAGTTTTGCATGCTCAGAATTTCTACACATTTTGTCAAAAAAAATATTTTATAGAAATGTACTTCTAACAACTAAATTTTAATTAATAATTCTACAATTTTAGGAAATACGAGTACATTCATGTCGTGGTTGTGTTCTTTCCCATTTTATTTAATATTCCACAATTAATGTTGAAAGTGTTTTGTTTAAATGTATTCCATTTTTTAGACACTATACGGTGATATTGAAGGAAAATATATAGGAGACTTAGGGTGTGGGAGTGGTATGCTAAGTATCGGTTCATTCTTACTTGGTGCTGGCATGACCACAGGTTTTGAAATTGATGACGATGCTTTAAACGTAATTAATGTAAAACATATAATTTTAAAAATATGTATAATAATTTTAAGTTTTTTTTTTTTATTTTCATAGATTTTTCAATCTAATGTAACAGATATGGAATTGCCTGGTATAGATTGTGTTTTATGTGACGTACTAACGTTGTCTAACAATGAAAAGTGGGAAAATGCTTTTGACACAATTGTTACCAATCCCCCGTTCGGGACGAAAAAAAATTGTGGAATCGATATGTTGTTTGTTCAGACTGGTGTATTTCTAGCTTCAGGAGCTGTTTATTCATTTCATAAAAGTTCCACCCGGTACAAATACAGACATTCATATTTGTGTTCATGGCTGCAAGATCCTTTAAGTTTTATTTAACATAACCTCAAAATATATGTACATATGTATTATAAGTTTATTTTTTTTTAATTTTGAGTAGTGACATTGACAGCACCGAACACACATAATCGTCATTTTTTGAATTTATTCACTGTATTATTCTTTTTATTTTCACAGGGATTACATTCATAAAAAGGTTAAAGATTGGCACGTAAAAGGGAATGTCGTTGCGGAACTGAAATATAATATTGACACCAGTTATTCCTTTCACAAAAGCAAAAGCGTTGACATCAATGTGGACTTTTGGAGATTCGATGTATCTGAGAAAAATCTTTGATTCGATACACTACAAAAATAGTTTGGATTTATTCTTTTTTTTATTTCAAATACCAAGAAATTGTATACATATGTGTCTATATATGTTTTTGTGTTTATGTTGAAAGTAGAGTATCATGAAAAAAGGCAGATGTGTATTTCTGACCACCCACTTATAGCATTTTTCGAAGCATTTATAAAAATATCAAAAACTTCACTGATGGCAGGAAAATAGTATTTTTAACAGTAACATTTCTTAGAATTTTTTATATACAAGTGTACCAATACAGGTGGTTAATAAGGACGAATTTTTTTTAAACAGCTATTATACAGGTACAAGCTAGTGTAAATCATAAGCAAAATATACTTATACATGAAAATAATTTTAATTTAACACAAACTTTCAATTTATTTATTATTTGTAGATAATATGGCATATGTACACACATGCAGTAGTTTCAATTAAAATTTTGGATAAGACAATAAAAAATAGAATGGAATCAACTTAAGTAAACTAGAAAATACGTAATACATGAAGCCCATTTTTGTTTCACGAATAAATTTCATTATTCTTAACGGCTTTTCGTCTAATCTCATTCAACTCATTTATTATTTATGGATAATATGTTTAAATAACATATGTACACACATGCAGTAGGTTCAATTAAAAATTTGGATAAAACAAAAAAAAAATTATGAAATTAACCTGAGTCAATGAAAAATTGGGCAATACATGTATTGTTACTTGTAGAAAATTTTTCTTTCACGAATATGATTCATTATTCTTAACGTAGGCTTTTCTTTTAAAATATTGTTTTTAGTTATACTAAACTAAAACCCTGAGTTTGTTGAATAGCCTGAAGCAATTTGTATTTTAAACGCTCTTTAGTCTTGTACTGAGGCAAATCTAACAGATTGAAGCACGTATGGGCTACAGGAAGAAATCGTTCATCATTTGTTGGCTGTATGCAGATCTAAAATACATAACATTAATTTTTAGGTAAATAAAAATGGTAATAATCTACTTTGATCGCTTTCATTCCTTGAATGGGAATTCGGTCGCTTCCAGTCAAATATAGTAGAAACTTTTTCTTTTCACTCTCCGGCAACTCGTGGAATACTTCCCAAAACCACCTTATCTACAAATTAATAATCAGTTGAACATGTCGTACAACAATTTTTTCATTGTATATGAATGTACTAACTGTTTGATCTCCAGAGTTGTAACCGTTTTTGTATTCACAATGTAGCTCGAGCGCTTGCCAGTCATATTCTTCGTTTCCCACAACCACGGCCATTAATTCATCTGGTTTAAATATTTGTAGCACTCGTCCCCAACATACCTTTTATTTGTTAATATACATTATTTCATTGAATACGATTTCATTTGGCTGTTTACCTTCATAAATCCTTTGCGAAAAGCTTTAAACTGAGTTTCTACTGCTTTGTTAAATAGAAAATCAACATACAAATCGACAAACTCCTTTCTGTAAAAATTAAAAGTAAACTAATGTAGTGAAAAATATACTACATATTAAGAAGAATTTTGAAAAAAAAAAGATGAATAACTAACTTATTATCCAAAGTGACGGGTGTTTGGCTGCCATTTGGTTTCAATTCCTCCGTTTGTGACTCACCGAAAATATCGCGAGATATTTCAAAATTTAAATTAAATACTTCTTCAAAATCAAGTTGGTCGTATTTTAGTATGGACTCCATAGAATTTGCCAATGTAGGCGATAAGTCACGCAAGTCAGTTAAATCGACAGGTTCGTCCAGCAGTTTTTTATATAACGCCAACGGGAATGGTAGATTTATAATTATAAAATTATATATTGCTAAGCCACAAATTACTCCAATCAAGAAGTACATATCATCTGTTTCAAATGTAATATCCGCAAACCAAAGTACGTGTGAGTCTTCATATTCTTTGAACATTCCATATTTCGGATCCAAGAGGTCCCTTAATAAAAGCATAAAAAATTCTTTTCTCACACCACCGGCATCTTCGGCTTCCTCCCCGTGGAATTTGATCTATTTCAAATGAAATTAATTTAGAAGAACATTATTTTTATTATTTATATTAGAAGTAATGTGGCTTATGCAGATATAAGTTATATATAGATGTATAAATTACTTTTTGAATGAGCCGTACATACCTTAAGTGGCTTTTTCAAGTCGCTTTGATTATACTGCATAATTTCCCGTAAAGTGTCCTGCACTAGATTCTCACGTGAAACATTCAGCACGATAAATTGCGAAATAGGTGTTCCAAATGTAAGCAGCGAGAGGATTCCCTAAACATATCGTCAAAATTAAAAAAAAAATTAACGGTCATCAAAATTAATTTTGATTTTACCGAATTGGCAGCATTTTGCATAGCGGTATGCATTTGTATGGCTTGATCTGTTTGTAAAAGTGTGGTTTTAGCAGATGCGTTAAATAAAAACGGATAATTACAGATGTTAAAGGCTTCAGGCTGAAATGAAAATTTATCACCATGAAACTTATATTGCGAGTAGTCAGTAGAGGATACTTTCGCTTACATTTTTTTCGAAGAGCCAATGTATATAGTCTTGTTGGATGTCAACGTAATCTGTCAGCTCTGGCCAGTGGAAAATGTCATACTCGATTTTCTCTAAACGCTGTTTGTGATTAATTTTATGTAGCACGACTAATAGGTTTAGAGCCGCTGACAAATTGGAATTATAACTAACCAACTACATGTAAATAAAAAAGTGTATGTAAAAAGTATGAAATGATTGATTTCATAATTACTACTGGCTACCTTCTTTTCAAAGTTTCCGCCAGAGTTTGCAGCAATTTTAAAACTGATTATATGAGCTACCACGTTTTTATAGTTCGATACCAGGTTTTCGAACCAATCTATCGGCGTCTGCGCCCACCACATTACAACAATTTTTCTAGGTATTTCTTTAAGTCTTAGCACAGCATTGCTGAAGGGTGTATGTAGGGTTTCATAGTTTTTAGAATTGACAAATTCATGATATATCGGCAAAATCAGATAAAGTCTCAAAGTTTCAACGTCTGCTGGCGATGGCATAAGTGATGCAATTATTTCATTGCATATTTTGTCCCAAATCTAAAATAGATTATAATGCAAACAATATCAGATGTAATTCCATACTTGCATTTAAGTTACTTACGATTTGCTTAATGCTTTCATGTTCCACTTTGCGTATGAAATCAAAAGTTTGCTTAACTTGCAACAAATCTACGCCGGGCTGTTTTGAGGTACAACAGAAATGCTTATTTTCTACCAAAAATGATCCGTTGAGGCAAGCTTGACTTTTAAATATCACTTCAATGGTTGTTAATAAGTCCATATCAATTGACGCATCCTTCTCGACTATAGCACACTGTTCTGCCAACTCTCTAGTCAAGCACATAATTTGAGTCCGTGGCCTTGAAATTATTATCATTAATATAAGGCGTTAAAGTGTTGCATTAATATTAAATATTTACTCGCTAATCCGATAATCTGCGGCAGGAATTTTATCACCGACTTTTGTTGTTAAGACGAATGAGTGATTGCCACCACAAAAGATTTGCCGTACTAAGGGGGAGTTGTCTATATTTTCTTTGGTATCAGTATCTACTAGTTTAGAGCTATTGGGGCATACCTGAAATTAAGAGCATTACAATTTTATTAGAACGTTCACATACATAAAGTATATATAACAAACCCATGGTCCAACTATAACATGCGGTACAGAACAGCTATTCACTTTTCGTGTGCCAAAATTTCCTATACAACCCAAACCAAAACCATACACCCGCCCTCGAGAAGGCACTAAAGCTAGAGTATGTTGCGCACCACACGAGATTTGTGTAATAGTACTTCCCATTAACTCTGATACTTTTCGAGGCAGTACTTCGTTCAAGTTACCACCATGTCCAAGTTGACCATGTGACCCTTTGCCACATGTGAATACACCACCGTCGTTGGTCAAAAATACGGAATATTGTTCGCCACATGTTATATAACGCACGCACAGACTACGAAGCGTTCTTAACTGGGTTGGAAAATGTCGATGTGTACAGTCGTTGAGTCCCAATTGCCCACAATTATTGCATCCCCAACCAAACACAGCACCAGATTTCGAAATTATAAATGAATGATTGCCACCACATGCTATAAAAGCTATAGGTATACCAAGCAATGAATCCACCAGGCGAGGAGAAGTGGAATGGGCCAATTCATTTGGCGGTGATATACCTAACTGACCATAAATATTTGAACCCCAAGCGTATAAAGCACCACCTATAAATGACAATGGAAAATATATTATAATAAAATCATTAATTGCTTACAATTGGTTAACGCAAGGCTGTGATTATAACCACTGGAGATTTGAATAATGGTTTGAGCAGCAAGTTTTTTCACAATTTTTGGCGAACGTATAACATCGGACGAATCTGGCAGCGCCAATTGTCCATAGTCATTATGTCCCCAGCTATAAAGCTGACCCCATTCGCTGAGTGCCAAAGAATGTCTAGCGCCACAACTTAAATCCGTAATGACAGTATTTCCAAGGTCACTTATGAGTTCTGGAATATGAAAGTTTGTTTAGTTTCTTGTTGAAATAACACTCATTGTGTAAATAATTGCTTGAAAAGATAATTTGCGGTTTCAAATATACGTATTAGATGACGAAAATATGTTGATTTAGACAAAGCCAAACGCAAGTGCAATACGCAAAATAACTAGGCACAGTATGTGAAAGAAGAAAGATGTGGTTATTGTGGTTTTTATATTCTTCTTTCATTGCTAGGTTGTTGAATTATTTTTTTGTTAGTATATATGTTTATAAACTACTAATCCTTGTTAGAAATGAGGGACACATTTTTCCAATCATAACTTTGGATGACCGAAGCATTGATTCAACTATTGTCTTTTGTTATATCACGCACCTGCATACTCAGCTATGGTGCTAACATTGCTAAAAGTTGTTGAACAATACGTTCAAGGGAAATATGGAAATATTAAAGTTTTTTATATCACATACGTGGCCGCTTCGTCATCTGTTGGTGACCCAATTGACCATAATCATTACTTCCACTTGAATAAACTTTTCCGTCTTCTGTTAAAAACAGAGTATGTTTGAGTCCGCATCCTATGCTCACTACAGAACTTTCTGGATGCCAGGGTATTTCACGCGCTTCCAATATCTAAGAAATATATGTATCACTATAATTTCGTTTTCAAGATTATTAACTAACCTCTTCTTCTACAATACCGCCCAGACCGAGTTCGCCATGCTCTGTGTTACCCCAGCAATATATTGACATTTTTTATATTTGTCGATTATTTTGAAGTGGAAAAATTATTTTTTCGGTAAAATGTAGATAACATTTTCCAATAGCTTTTTTGATATTTATGTACGCTGCTTTATTCACACCAATGTTATTCAACCTGGAAAAATGGCGTTATGATATTATTTTATTAGATAATAATTTCCTTTCGCTTCGATTGAACAAAAATTCTAAAATTTCTTAATAATATATTTCACATTAGAGATACAATTATATGGAATCAATAATTTTCAAGGCCATCAAGGCAATACACTGATTTTTTAAGCAATTCTTATGATTAATTTTGTAATAAGTGTAAAATATTATACCTTAAACCTTAACAAAGCCACTAATTTAAAATTCTAATTGATAATTGCTATATGATAAGCAGAAATATCCAAAATGCACATAAAAGTGACTTCTACTATTTTTTCTGCTTCTAAGAATTTTGAAATAAAAACAAACGTATAAATTTGACAACAACGATAAGAAATGTCACAACTAATGAAATGGCAGAAAACCACATACAGAGCAGAGAATGTAAAATATTTATCGGTAACATTGTAGAGTTGCAAGGTTCCCATAAAACAGATTTTTATTGTTCATTTTACTCGAAAAAATATAGTATTAATAATAAACATAATATATTAATAATTAATTTCAAAAAATCCGCTAGTGGGACAAAGACTTTGTTTGAAAAGTATCATCATTTGCTGTATCTCCCACTGGAGCATGAAATATATACAAATTTCAATTTGCTTTGCTTTGAATAAATTTTTTTCTTCTAAAACATACTCGCATTTAGCAACTTTTTGTTCCCGCCGAAACAACTGTATAACAGTTTCCGTGAACACTTTAGAATACCGTCACAGGATTTCGGGGATAAAATGGGCGGATAGAGGATGTTCTCCAGATCAAGAATATATACAATATGTATATCTATCAAGGATGTTCTCCAGGTCAAGAATATCATATGTATGTTACATATATCTATAAATGTATATGTATATACATATGGTATTCTAAAGCCGACCCCAGTTTCATATCAATTGTTTGTTAACATTTAAAATTTCCTCTGTGTGAATTTAAAAATTGTATTTGTATCGATGTACATATATTGTGTAAATATTTGCAAGTGTGTTGAGCAAAAGACGTGTGATAAATTTCTGGCCGATATCTCATAAACTAAGTGACTAGTTTGCTTATATACAGACAGCCGGACAGACAGAGCATTTATAGGGTCTCCGATGTTTTCCTCTGGGTGTTACAAGCTTCCTGGCAAACTTAATGAATCCTGTTCAGGGTTTTCATATCTGATATGCACGCTGACTTTTGTAATTTCCCTGACTAAGTAGAATTAGCTATTTTGGTTCAGCGAAGTTCAACATCATGTTTATGCATCTGTACATTTCATCTTTAAATTTCAGTGGCAAATGGAGATTTACTATTATTGAATGCATAAAAAATGGAAAACACAATTAAGAATATCACAAATAGTGTTTCGAGGTAGTGCGTTCAGGAGACAGATCTGATTGATAAACACATAAAAACTTTTGGTCAAAGTTTTTCAGAAATTACATAAATTTTGCGTTCTTTCCATTTTGTTTACTTTAATGCTCTGCACTGTTTCGAGTTTCTGTTATGAATAGATAGGTATTTATTTTGTTTTTCAGTTGAACGTTACCGGAATAAATAACATATCGATTAGTTCCTTTGAAATTAATGTTTTGTTGGTAAAATAGCTCACTTCTAATAAATAAACTCTCTGCTTTTTTCTTTGAATGCTAAATAGAAAAAATAAAGAAATCAGAATTACATGTTCTAATCAATTTACCGTATTACCAAAGCATACAATAACAATATTTGTCAAAAGGAAATTTAAAATACAGAAGTATTTGTATGGCACAGCTCTGACCTGTTCGACATGTCGTATAGGTGATGTGTTGTGTATTGCTGTCTCCCTTTTAATGATTACTCCACACCCAGGGGTTATCTGATTTTTTTTTTAATTTCACGTCGTTTATTGTATTTTCCTGTATATTTTTCGCACGAAAATCAGCTCAGCCCTGGGTATGCTGCGTTGCTTTGTACGAGAATTTCAAAATATAATTAGAGCCGCAAGCAGTAAATTGTTAAAATTGTATTTATTAATATTATGGTTGTTTTTGTCATGTTTTCATTGTCTTAAAACATGTAAATAAGAAAGGAATACATGTGGAGGACATGCAAAATAAATTAAAAAATAATTGCATATTTTCGCGAACTTCGTAAAAACATACATTCATACTACATGTCTGTAAATATATGTTGTATTCTCGTATTATTGGTATATGTGATTATTTATGAACATACATATAGGGATATTTATACCCTGAACAGCGTGCATTAAGTTTGCAATACCCAAAAGGAAACGTCTAAGACTCTATATAGTATATACATTTATACACATATAGTGTATCGCCGATATCGAACCTCTATACGATACAGCTGCCATACAAACTGGTTAATCAAAATCAAGTCCTTGGATGGGAAACTCTTTTATTTGATGGAATATCCTCACAAAATTCGGCATAACTTCTTGTCCCCGGCAGTCCTACAATTTCCGAATATATTGTTCAGATCGAATCACTTTATCATATATAGCAACCAAAGAAACTGAACGATTAACATCAAGATAAATATCTTTTTATCTTCGGTGAAGCCGAAGTTAATGTTTTTTCTTATTTTTCCATTTCTTTACTATATATTTCTTTGTCGCTTGAGTTTCAGATTTTTTATATTTAAATGGTCCTTTAGCGAGTGTTCGTTTGAGTTGTATTTAGATTGCAAAATAATTTTTTTCATATGTTTCTTTTTAATAAATTTGTAGGTAAATTTTTTATAAATATTAAATTAAATTATATATGCTGGCTCATATTTACCTTGAGCTAATATTTACTTAAGGTGCTTGGATATTTTGTAATCTGCTCTTACGAATTCCTATGTGCACATACAATACATAAAAATTTAAAAACAAAAATGATTTCATCTAATTTTAAATGTGCACTTCATCAGCTTCACAAGCATTTTCTCTCTTGTCTGGCAACAAGGTCTCATGGTCTTAGCGCTTTAATATTTAACCCAAGTGCCTATTTAAAAATACATGTAATAATGAAATTGCGAACGAGTATTTTAAAGAATGCGCGTAACAATCATATCCCTGGTAGGGTTCCATTCACTTGGAGAGCATCACAAGTTAAAGGAACGGTAATCACTGACGGTACACGTCATATACAGTTGTCCACAAAATAAGAGGAGTGCCAATATGAAATATATATTTGGGTACATAACGTTTCTGAATCACATGTAAATGACGAGGTACAATAGCAGCACACATAATGGGATATTCACATTATAACATAAAACCAATTTTTAATGCGATGATTTGTTATTCTCGTTCAGTTTTCTTTGTTCTCGGAGATCATTGAAATTGCTTTTCACAAAAAAATAGGAAAGTTAGACATTTCTTTACTAAAATAAACTTAACTTAAAAATATTCGCAAGATTAGGAAAGTTATGGTAAATTTTATCATTGTATTTTTCTTCAGTGGGTAGAGGGAATCATTCCACAGACGACTTTATGAATGATTGTTATACAACAAAAAATCCACGAAAAGTACCGCTACTAAAAAAAGAAACACCTAGAAGCCCGTATACAATTTGCAAAGAAGCATGTCTCCTGGCCCGTGTTTAAATGGCGAAATATATTGTGGTCAGAAGATTTTAAAATTGAAATATTTATTTGTTAGTAAAAATTCTAGAAAGTTTGTCTGGGGTCCACCTAAGACGGAAAATAATCGCTGATTTACAACAAATACCTACAAAGAGTCTTTGCTAAAATCATGGTAAGGGGTAGCTTTTCACATAGTGGAGTTGGTGCAATTCTCTTGAGTGCAGGCATATGTTAAAATATTAGATGGGTAATGTTTTCAAATGCCTGATGGAATATATTTTGCATTTATATGGGTATACCAACAAGATAATGACCATAAACAGATAAAAAAGTGTGCAAACCAATGATGTAGAGTCAACGGAGTTTAAATTATGTCTCAGTCTGTTCAGTCGGCTGCCCTCAATTCCTTAAAACCCTCGGAACTCATATGAAAAAAATGTTATTGAACGAAAACTTACACATTCGAGCTATTTCTGGCAGTTTGTAAAAGAGATGGTCGGAGAAAATCCCCCGCTGAACCCTCCCCGAGGGTGGTAATAGATACCACAGTATCACAACGTAGGGACAAGCTGGTAACTGTTCGCCCTCAATGTGGTGACGTATCTAGTTAAGGTCAGATTTCGTACCTGGGTGTTTGTTACTCCTCAATAGCAAAGCATCCAGATAGGCAGTCTTACTATGGTAGGGGGTACAAACAGGAGATATAACAATCACATTTTGATATTCGAAATACGAGTATTTACTAAGTGAAGGTCACGCATGCAACGTACTTGACTACGATGGTCGATCGCATCTGTGTTTCTATTAATAAACGTAATTAATTAACTTTAACGCTTTAAATATCTTCAGATCTGCAGTCGTAATGGAGTAGCAATTCCTTAAGAGATTTAAGAATTTCACTCACGTTCATTTTATGGCCACCTTTTAACAACTTCCTCGTCGAATTTTTAGCCAACGAAATGCACCCTCTAAAATCGCTCGTATTTGATTATGATATACTCGCACTCTTCGACAAAAATACATATGCAATAAATGGCTGCCATTCGCAACAGGTCTTAGCCCTAGACACATACTTAAATGTATACCCTATACAAGGACATATTGTAGGGATAACAGCTCACTTTTGACTTTGCATTCGCAATTTGAATTCTGTCCAAGTTCAGCTTTTGTCGTCACTACAGCAAAGTCATTATTCCCCCGTAAATTATTTTACGCATGACCATAAAAAAGTTATAGCCTCCGCTGAGTGCTTAAGGAATTGATTACCACCCACTGTGGTACCACAGTAATTGCGGTAAGATGTATGTCATTAGTACCTATGTACTAGCTGTTGTTGCCTGGTAGTTCACAACTGTCTCTTTTGGCTTGTGACTTCAACACACGGATGTTACTTATATGTATGTATGACTAAGAATTTAAGTGTTGCCTTCGCACCCTCGATGTTTACAAACTAAATGCAACAATTTGGTGTCGCGCGTTCCACTGTATGCCATTTTATATCGTATATTCTCTGCTGCTTTTGTTCTTGTTTCGACATCGTTTTGTTGACAACAGACGGCGATATTGTCTGTTTTGTTATTGGCGTAGCCGAAGTTATGACGCAGCAAGTGTCTTTGTTGGTGTGCTTATGTATATGTGTTTACGTGTTAATGGCTAATTTTCCAATAATTAAGTGTAATTATCTCCGAAACTGCATTACTCAAAAGAAGTGTAATTTACCTCAAGGATGTGATGGAAATTTGTAGTTGTCTGAAAACCTGTCGAAATTTAATGATGTCATTTGATATCGATGCCGACTAAATAATTGATTTGCTCTTGAGAAGATGTTTTTTACACTCGGGATAAATAAATTGCTCAATTTATAAAATTAGTAACATTATACTTCAGCTCACATTATGTATAATATATCTTCGAAATAAAGCGGGAAAATTAGCTCATAGAAAGCGGCTAGACCACTTTAAGGAGGCATCCTCTTATTTATTTCATCCTTTAACATGAATATAGCAGGGCTCAGATGTATAAGCTTTGCATATAAAATTTCCGGAATAGCATTCAAGTGTTTTCGTAGTGTCAAATTCACAATATCTAAATAATCGTCACTTGACGGCGTGCCATAATTTTTGTAAGATACTAAATTCAGACAATGTTATTGCAAGCTTCTTTCGAGGTGTTGAATTCCAGTTAAGAGTCAGTGTTATTGTGTTGTTCTGTTGTCAACTACTGTTGATCACTTTAACGTTTTTTGTAGGACGGTTTATACAGAGAAAAAGAAACGTCCTGAACTCAGTCAACTGTCAAAGTTCAGGAGGTTCTGACGTTTAGCAATTGGAAAAAGAGGGACGACCAGATTGAAATCTTACCAAAAAAAATATGTGAACAGAGATATTTGTTGCCGCTGTTGAAGATCACTAACAAAAATTGGAAAACAATGAAAATTAAAAAAAAAAAAACGCGAAATGAAAATGTATGTGATGTATAATCTTTTGTGTTGTTTTGCTGCGTAGTATTAATTTTCAATTGAAAATGATAATAAAATTTATTATTTGAGAGCTAATACATTTATTTACTTCATTAAGAATTGAAAGTTTAAAAATCAGTTGTTTTAATATATCACAAAATCACAAAAAAGGATTTAAATAGTTTCTGCATACGTTTAACGAATACGTGTATAATAATACATCTTAATAAATCTTGGGTATTTTAATTTAAATGCCCAAATATTATTATTTTTTCCGATCTTGCTACAATGGAAAATGTAAAAAAAACGCTAAATTTGAGGTGCTCTCTCACTGGAATAAGTTGGACAACCCTTTGTCCTTGTTTTAGATGGATAGATATAAATAAAAATGCAAGTATATATATATTTTTAAAATAATAAAAGGATATACATATATTTATTGTATATAGTATATAAAAAAAAAAGAAAAAAAAAATATATATATATATAAGTTTGTATGAATTTAATGTGGAAATATTTTAATGAATAAACAAATTAATAAATTGTGCTATTTTCTTTTTACAATTAAACTAGTAAAACTTTTACAATCTTAAACGTTTAATAGCGCGGTAGCGGTAGCCATCTTTGGCCAATACAGCCGTCTCCTCAGGACCCTCGGTCTCAGTTTGGCCTTGCTCCAGTGGTGGTAAGTAATCACTGTCGACTGCCTTCGGCAGAGCCATCTCTTCTGCGGGTTGCTTGTAATGATAGCCATCATCCATCAAAATAGCGCTATCTTGAGGGACTTCCTCCGCTTCTTCCTGCAAACGCACTTTTGGGTGGGCAGGTTCTTCTTGCTCCTGCTGTACTTCCTCTTCTGGTACTGCTGGTGGTTCGGTCTCCACTTCTTCCACAACTGGCGTTTCAGTACTTAATTCCTCAGCCGTAGGGGGCAAGTAGACTGAAGCCACTTTCGGGACGACTGCGTTCACCTCTTCTGTATCGTCGGCATTTGGTGGCAGATATGATTTGCTGGGTGGCAAATAGCTTGGTGACAAGTGTGAGACGTCACGACGTACACGTTGGCGGTTTTTCAGCTGGCGTATAGTGCGATATTCATAACCGTCGGTACCGAGTACAGCGCTTTCTGGTACCGCTTCGGGCTCAGCGATGGCGACGGGTGCTTCAGTTTCAGCAATGATAGCCTCAGTTGTAGTGGTTATCTCTTCGGGTAATACTAATTTAGGCTCAGGTGGCAGATAATTGTAAGCTGGCTGGTGCGCTGCTGCCAACTCGGAAACGTCTCGCTGGAAGCGCTGGTGCGGCAGTGCTGAAGCAATTGCTGTGGCTGCAGCCAGCACTAAACAAGGTACCAAAGTGAATTTCTGCAGAAGAAAAACGTGTGAAATTAGTAATCAGATAGTTGTCGATTTACTGAGGCTGTGTAGTGTGATTATATTTTTTCAGATTATTTTTACTAATTTTTCACGCTGCGCTCCAAGTTTTTAATCATTGGATTTGATTTTAGTCCTTCTTTTTAAGTATTCTTTTATAATAACATGATATTTAGACATTATATGTGATTCAACTTCTTGCAATAGTTTTTTCTTAACTTTTATATTTTTGAATTTAAACTTTTCAATTTGAATTTCAAAATGCACTTTTAACTTAATCTGTGGTTTACACACCATTTTATTGTTACACACAATTTATTTCAACTTTTATTAAATTTAAATGCTTCGCGAGCTTGTCGCTACGACCGACAGTTTGCTAATGATATGATTACCGCCAAATGCAAACGTTTTTATACTAAAATATGACACTCAAAATTATTATTTAAAAATAAATAGTAAATACCAAATAAAGTTCCAGTTGAAAAGGCAAAAACCAACGTAAAAAGGAAGAATTCATCGATAATAGTCGAAAATTCAACTCATTCAGCTATAGAAAAGCTAAGTGAAATAAGAACAACAACAAAACAGCGCAACCTGTTCATCGATACCATAAAGCTTGCAGCTCAATTGCTCCGGTTGAAAGTTTGAAGTTGAAGTATCCACTTCGGCTGCACTTAAGTCGCACTCAACACGAAAATATTTCAAATTTCAAAATGCATACTTACAAACATATTTTTTACTCTGCTGCTTTATTTACTTGCAATTGTATAGATTTTTGGCATGAGATCGTAGTTTTGGTTGTAGTCAGTATTTACGGTGTTTAGGGCTCAATACACATCCACAAATGTAGATATGTTCATATACCTGTGCCAACCATTGTATTCAAACTTTGTATGTTAGTTTGTACAGTTATTATCATGTATTCACGTGTTCACGGTCTAGTTATAATTTTATTGCAATGTCAAGAGCACCACTTGTGGCAAAGCCAAATAAAACACATTGTTCTTCTTCCAGATTTGTCTTCAATGATAAGAAGGCCATTTTCCTACGTAATTCAAAAGAAGTTTTTTATTGCTGTTTGAATATTATTCTCTTTTTATACACGATTATAAGTATTTCGTAAGTTGATACTCATTATATGACATTTATAAATATACATACATAGAAATTATGTTGGGTTTTGTAATCAAGTTATTGGCAATGTTGTGGGAGTTTCTTTTCTTGACATCAAAAGCGAAAGAAATCATATTAACCCACACTATGTCTTTATTTTGTACTGAATAATTTTCATGATAGCAGCATGACGAATGGCAGCAGTTGTGGCAAAGCACAGATAGACTGGAGCGTTGACCGATTGGCTTACAATAATTTATAATCTCTTGGTGTAAAACATCGCGGTGTTTATCGTGTTTTCACATTATTTGACCACTACTGACACACGAGTATATAGCGGTGAGTATGCTGGCTGTCGTTTTAGTAGCTGTTAATACTATTTAGTAATAATAGAATTTATGTTACTCTAATTATGTGCGGTTTAGCTTTGGACGTTAGCCTGCATTGTTCTGACCATTTTCGGATAATACCTATATTTTGCAAAAGTATGTGCATTAATGGCGTATGCAGGCGCCCTGTTACACAGAAAATTATTAATTTGAAAGTAATAAGTACATAAAATAATAATAAATGTAAAGATTTGATTGATCTAATTGAAATTACGATAAAATTATTCCGTTAGTATTTACATATGCACCCTAGAGCTGCAAAACAGTCGATGGGACTATTGATAGTTTTATTTTCGTTTCACTATTGATAGTTTATTTTAACCATCGATGGTTTATGCCTTAACTGCATTTACCATTAATTTTCATAAATTTTCAAAATTTCACTTAATAAAGCTACATAATGATATCATTTAAGGAATAAGCGCGGAGATTAGTGCAACTCATAAGCCCAGTGCGTAAGAAAGGGATGAACGATCTGACGTATACAAGAGTTTCGGTTAGAATTGTCAGTTGGACCTTAAGAAATTCATAAAAACTTTAATAGAAATCTCTGATCACGCTGTTGGGTAATTAACCGGTGACTTAACAGATAGGTGGCTTGGATAAGTGGAAATAAAGTAATCTACCGAAACGTATTTTAAGTATAAAGTTCATAAAATTCAAGGTCTTTATTACAACTACATCATATTTTTTTATTTTATTGTGATGAAAATGTCAAATTTTGTACCAGAAAGTGATCATTTCCAGAAAGCATTCATTTTTTGTTTCCATTTAAAGAAAAGTGCTGCAGAGTCGCATCGAATGCTTGTCGAGGTCTATCAGAAGCAACATGTAAAAGATGATTTCAACCGTTCAGAAGCACTACCAAAAAAGTTTGCAGACACCGAACTGCAGGCAATATTGGATGAAGATGATACTTTGAGCAAAAAGCAAATGGCAGCTACGCTAAATGTTGCACAACAAACACTTTCAGACCGTTTTAAAGCCATTGGAAAGATCCAAAAGTGTAGAAAATGGGTGCCACATGAATTGTAATGTATATGTAACTTTAGTAATTTTTTTGTGTTTTTCGGTATTGTTCATGTTTTGTTTTATAAATAAATCCAAGGATTATTTCATAAAAATGTAGTATACAAAGCCATGGTCTCTTAATTTAAACTAGCGAAAAGTAAGTAGATTTCAAGAGGAAAAACTATCGATAGTATTTTTTTAAAATATCGAAACTACCGAGTGGTCCGACCCTTGATAGTTTTGTAGCTCACAAATCACACACTAAATCATAATAGAAATGATAAAGCTGGACTAATGGGATGAATTTTAGGTTAGGCAAACAAAAATAGTAAGGTTCGTAGCAGAAATCCTACCTTACTTTCTTGCTGTATGCTTTCTTCCTCCTGCTGGAGAAGTTTATTTTAAAAGCGGTCGCCCATCGGTTGAAAATTTAAAAATCTATCAATTTGTGGAATTTCTTAAAAATTGTAAGGAACCGCAACTATGTCTTTGAAGTCGCTCGAAATTGAGAACAACTTACTAATTGAAATTCATTGTAGGGACTAAACACAACTCTTATACAAAATAGTGTCTTTTTCTTTGTGGTGAATTTTTGCTAAGCGTGTTCTAAGCTTTGCACAATTCCTAAATGAAAACAAGTAAGGAACGGCTAAGTTAGGATGTAACCGAACATTTCATTCTTTTGCAACTTATAAGGATCAAAGCCGGGAGAATACCTTCAGGTGTTGTAAAAATGTTTTTTCAAAAAATGTTGCGGAAGAATGAATAATCAACAACACATCAACGGAGTCGGCCACATGTTCGCTCGTGAGACGAGATTTTTCGCGAATACCATTGAATTATGGACAAAAGTGCTGTGAAATCATAATAAGGTGCTGAATAAACTTGACAGTGACATTGTACAATTGAATTGAAGTGGACATTTGCAATAGTTTGCACGTAAACTCAATTAAAAGAAATTTTCAAATACGCAAAAAGACTTTTTTTTTTTTCGTCTCTCTTTATAACATTATTCTTCGCTGTCGAATTGTCAAATTTCGTCGTACTTTGCATTCGGTTCGAAACTGTGCTACGTATGTGAATTTCGGTTTCGAACGAGTATAATCGTATGTGTAGAAAATTGTACACAAAGCAAAGACCGCAAAAAAGAGGTGTTAAGAAGAGTACATAAAGCGTGCGAATTCGGATTTGAACTGTGCGTAACTCGGCGAATTGGCGTTACTCTATAATGGCGCCGAAATCCAGAAAGAAGAGGACACTTGATGTATCTGACATTGATATTGATGAAGTATCAGCTCTAAAAATGGAAAATGAACTATTAAGACAGTTAAATTCAGAACTACAGGAACGAAATAAATTACTGAACAACCTGGTGGAAAAAGGGAATTTATTAAGTGATGTAAGAATTTCATATGCTGACATTGCTAAAGGACATACTAATATTAATGAAAGAGTACCTAAAATATTAGTTAAAGCTAAAAATAATGATAATGGTGAAACTCTGAAAATAGTAAAAATGAAATTAACAAGTGATCTAACAATACCAATCAACAACGTTCGTAAAAATAATGATGGGCTTGTTTATGTTAAATGTAAAAACACAAATGATATACAAAGAGTTAAATTGGTCTTAAGTGAAAAACTGGGTGGTGATTATTGTGTTGACTTGGAGCATCTTAATTTTCCTAAAATAAAAGTTACTAATGTGGAAAATGAATTAAACAAAGAAGAATTATGCGAGGATATATGTAATAGGAATTTCCAAGATATTGATGGCGCTTTCAACATCATCGCGGACTACAGGAACAAAGCTGGAATCCGGTCATTGATACTCGAGCTAACCTCTGAGTCATACCTACATCTAAAAAATTGCGGATTTAAATTGTACATTGGTTATCAATGCTGCCAAGTATATGATTTTTTTAATTTTAATTTATGCTATAAATGCGGAAGATCAAACCACAAACACAAAAATTGTAAGAATGAGGTTAAATGTCTTAGGTGTGCGGGTGATCATTTAACTAACACCTGTAAAAGTACTAACATAAACTGTCTCAATTGCGTGTACTATAATGAAAAATATCGGAAAAACCGCCCAACTAATCATTGTGCTATGGATACATGTTGTGAATATATCTCTAATAGTATAAATAAAATAATAAACAATACTGATTATCCGGTGAAACCAACGATACCAAAGTCACTAGGTAAAATTGGAAATTGGTCTTTACAAACAACCGATGATTGATAAAGAAGAAATGCAGATTGAAGAAATTTTTACTGATTTATATAATTTAAATAATACGTTACCTAATAACAATTTCTTTATGGTTCACCTAAATGTTAGAAGCCTAAATACAAATTTCAACAAATTAGAGTTATTTATTGAACATCTTGTCATAAAACCAGATATTATTGTCTGTACGGAGACTTGGCTCCTTTCTTGTTATACTTTTTTTGAAATGAATGACTATAATATTTTCTATAATAGTAGCAAAAATAATAGAGCTGATGGCGTTGTATTATATATTAAAAAATCTTTAAAACATGATGTTAAGATAGATGTAATTGATAACGTGAAAATTATCTCAACGATAATAAAATTGAAGGGTAATAAAAATCTTAAAATATCGGGTATATATAGATGTCAAGACATTCCTAAAGAAAACTTTATAGATGCAATAACTAAATTTTTAGACGTAAACAAGCATGGGAACAATCATTTTCTAGTTGGGGATTTTAACATCAATTTATTAAGATCTGATATTGCTACAAATGAATATTTAAATAATCTATTAGATCGTGGCTATATACCATATTTCAATGGTGTAACCAGACCTAATGACTTAGGGGGTACTTGTATCGATAACATTTTTGTTAAATCAAATATTGAGAAAATCAGATCCTTTACTTATGCCAATGTTTTTACAGATCATTATCCTATTTTTGTTGCTCTGGATTTGTTCCCTATAAAGTCTATGCTTAAAGAAACCTATTTCATTAACCACAATCTTATAAAAGTAAATAGTAGTTTACATGATTGGTCCCATATGCTTGATATAAAAGATCCAGAAGTTTTTTTTAAGCTTCTGATTGAAAATATAAAGAATATTATTGATGTTTCAAGATCCAAAGTAAATGAAACTAAGAACAATAACAGACCGAGGAGTAAATGGATAACTAAAGGTATTATAAAATCATGTAAAACAAAAGAAACTTTATACAGACTATGGAACTTGGATAGAAATAATGTAAAATTAAAATCTGAATATAACGCGTACTGTAAAATACTAAAGAGAGTTATAACACTTGCCAAAAATAACTACGAAAGTAAATATGTTAAAAAAATATCCAAAGATAGTAAAAAAATGTGGCAATACGTTAACACGAAAATAGGTAAAAAAACTAAAGCAAGGCCTATACTGGATTATCTAGTATGTAATGATGAAATCATATCCGATAATCAGGTTATTGCTGATGAGTTTATAACTTTCTTTAGTAATATTGGAGTTGAATTAGCTAATAAAATTGATAAAATATCGATTGACATAAATAAAAATGTTAAGCATAACCCTAATAGCATGTTTCTTACTCCAACTAGTTATACTGAAATTGAAAAAATCATAAAAGAAATGAAAGATAAATCGGGTGGTGTAGACGGCATTAGCAGTAAGATTTTAAAAATTATAGCCAAAGATATTAGTATACCTTTAGAGCATATTTTCAATATTTGTATATATAAAGCTATTTGGCCCTCTGTACTTAAAAAAGCTGATATTATACCTATACATAAA